ATTTTACACTAAACTTTCTTTAAAAAGTACACTTTAGCATTAATTTTTGTTTTCCTTTTTACACAGTGTGAATTCTGCACTCTGTCCTAGATTTAAAATCAACACTTGAAGTGTTGTTAACACTATCAATGTTTGGCAAAACAACACAACAGTGTGACCCTTCACACACCAGGAAGTAGCTCTCACTCATGATGTCGACTTATAGCAAATAACACAAAACTTAAATTTGAAAAACCAACCAACCTGAACAGGAAAACTAACCAGAAAAACAAATTTTTACATGAATCTTTTTAATAGTCTTACACATGTAAACACATAATTTCTGCAAGATTACCCAGCATTCCTTGCTGAGGAAATTCTGGTCCAAGAGGAAGAGGGCGGGGCTTTTCAGAATACTTCTTTCAACACTGCATGGTGTTGAAAAAACGACACTGTTAAGTGTTAATCGAGACTTAACAGTGGGCGGAGCTTATTTAACACTGTCCAGTGTTGAGACAACACTGAGGAAATCAGCTCTGTGAATTCACACCAACACTGGATGCCAGTTTACTCMGGAAGTGTTAAAAATAACACTTGGGGAGCTGAAAGTAACTCTGAAAAGTTTAACACTGCAAATGTAACACTTCATTTTTTAACTGTTTTAAATATCTGTTTTTCAGGATTTGTTTTCAACCCTTAGGTTTGACTTCAAACGTCAAAAAGGATTCCAACAATGTTGAAACGGTCGCGCATCCAGGAATTAGACAGTGACAAAACCTTGTTGAGTCTGAGGATGGCTTGTGCGTAAAGTGGTTTAGAGGCGCGCAGGTAGGATTCTGTCCACCCTCAGCAGCTTATTGTGTTCCCTTTGTACCAGTCAAGTGGTGGAGCCACGTGAGCCACTCCTGACAGTGGTGGGGACAAAAGACAAAGGAGCTCAAAGATGGAGATTTTTAAAAGTTTTTATTTGGAAGACACGCATGCGCGACTTTTTAATTTTCTGCTAATTGTGCCTTTTTTCATGCTGGACTTTTACCTGACCGTATATTACACTTTGGCTAAATTACACACACACACACACACACACACACACACACACACACACACACACACAC